CTCAGCCCCAAAGCTGCAGATCTGTAGGTGTGAATTATGTTAATTATAGGGAATTCCATTCCTTAAAAGACTGTTTATTTACATATCAAGGGAAACTTTCCTTAAGTCCCCTCCCCTCTGGGTGATCTCTGCTTTAGTCTTCCTCTGACAGTCTCCGCCTCCAACTCCGACTGGAAGATGAAATCAGACAGCCTTGATGTATAGCCCGCCCACCCAGAAGTGACCTTCCTTCCACAGACCGCTTGGCTTGTCTCTGTCATTTTTAGGATCAGACTTCAGTCCTTAACACACTACTGTACATACAACATGGGTGAGTCTACACGCATTATGCTAAGAGAAGCAATTAGATTCCAAAAGCTTCCTGCTGTGATTCCATTTACAAGACATTCTGAGCAGGGCAAAACGAGTGACAAGAAGGGGGCACGGAATTGTTGGAGAAGACAGAATTGGTGTATTATCTTGATGGCGATGGTGGTTATGCAATTCTATGCTTTTGTCAAGGCTCATGGAACTGTACCCGAAAAAGGGCAAATTTTATTGTGTGTAAATTATACCTCAACACGCCTGACCTTTTAAAAATGACTTCCATTTGCCAATCCTTTTTGGAACAAGGCAAGGTATCAATGGTTGTCAACTGCTGTGAATTTCCCACCCACCTTTGAAAGTGGCAACTGGAACTCTCTGGAAAGTCAAGTATGTCAAAGAAGAGGGTCAGTGGTCCCTGCAAACGTGCCTCATTTTGAAAGGGGTTTAGACCACAGGAGACATTCCTTGTTTATTCATTAATTTATTCATTCATTCACTCATTCAACAGTGTTTATTGAACACGTCCTAAGAGGCAGACTTGGGACTAGGCAATTTGGACATGACTGTGAACCTATACCAGCTGCTTCCTGTGAGGGGCGTAGAATCTAGGGGACTGGAGAGTGGGCAACTTCATAGAAGTAAAGAAACAGTAGCAAACAGGGGCCATGGACTCCCGGAGGGGCATCCAATCTCATCCCAGCAAATTGGGAAGCTCCTGAGAGGAAGCCGGCCTGAGTGTGTGTCAGTCAGGTAGGCAGCAGGTGTGAGGACCTCCGTCCATGGGATGCACATGTGTAGATGCCCAAAGGAGAGAGAAAAAGGAACACATTAAAAAACTGTAAGGAGTTCATGTTGGTGAGAGCTTTGAGGCCAGAGAATGGCTTTGCTGGAGTCATTTCCCACTGGGGGAGGGGGTGTCTCTTTTCCTCCTTGTTCCACCAGTTTGAGGCCCTACCCTGAAAAAAAGTTGTGCCACAGAGGAGAGAAAACTGCTGTCCTAATTCAGGGCTCTCAGAAGCTTTAAACAATAAATCTTTGCTCAACAAATGAAAAGATGTCAGATTAACTGATAAAAAGCTCCTGGGTACTTGGGCTTCTGAACTTTTCATATATTTTAAGTGGGTCTGTGATATACTTTCTACATCAGTAAAAAGGCAAACTCAAATGCCAAACGGGGGATTACAGCAAGTACCAAGACCATCCCTAGAACCTCACATTAGAGCCCCTCGATAGGAATTGTCTCCCCTTGAATCCCAAAAGGGTCTATTTTCTCACTGTAGAGAGATGGTTCAGTTGATCCAAATGGACATTTCCCGGGTTTCACTGTTGGGCCAGCTTTCTGAATTATATAGAGAATAACTTCCGAATTGCCTGGCTATGTTTTATTTTCTGTGCTAAAACACCTAGGCCATCACTGTATCTTGTGGGGAGGGATTTGAGCCCAGTCCAGAAATCATTGAGCAATGGCTGAAATCAGCTAGAACATCTATCCCTCCCACCCCCCAAAAGACACAGTGTAGAATTCCCAGAATCCTCGGAGCAAAAGCTGTGTCCACTTGGCCATTAGGTTTGCTGTCATATGCCCTTGGCCTGCATCCATTATGAAGCTAGCCTTAGCCATTCGCATCAGGGGCTTGGCTCTGGCGTTGTAACTGCATTAATTCTAAAAATTAACGCCAAAGCAACTGGCTTGATTTCAAATGTATGGCTGTGTGTGAGATCCAGTCACTGGATAAACGAAATTCCAGTGTCTCATCGTTATTCTGTTGACGGCCATAATGAACTGGGGTATAGCTCTTACTTATCCATCTTCTTACTAGACGAGGACAGATTTGTTTTGCATACTTGCATCAAGCTGGGGCAGGATATCATTTCTTCTAAAAGATTGGTACCCTGAATCCCTTTCTACACAGGAGAACGCCAGGGCCTCCTGAGATGCCCCCCCCCAAGCCTTTGAACCCCACAAACTAGTCTGAACCCCTACAGTCAGACTTCTGTTCCGTAATGCTCCTCCCAGACCAACAGGAAAGGACCAAGGATGAAGGAATCCTGAAAGGGGCCCTGTCTCCAGGTGAAGAGAAAGGAGAAGAGGCGTGGGAGGGAGGGCATCTGCATGACGGACGGATGGAGCGGGATTTTGTCTTGCAGGGTTATCTGTCAGAAGGCTTGGTAACGAAGTGGTACCGCTCACCACGCCTGCTCCTCTCCCCTAACAACTACACCAAAGCCATTGACATGTGGGCAGCCGGCTGCATCCTGGCGGAGATGCTCACAGGGAGAATGCTCTTTGCAGGTAAGCTGCTAACCACTCGCCTTCCTTCTCCTCTGGTGTCGTTCTAGACCAAGGGAGAACTGGGTGCACAAAACATGCCAGACTTTCCCTTTGAAGTAACCTCTGTGGCTTTTATGGCACTGCTTGGAGGCCATGTATGCTAGAGAGACTAAAAGTAATCTTTTAGGACAGAACTTTCACAATCAAGTAACCACTTGTATTCCAATACCTTGAGGTTGACCGTTGAAAACACCCACCCTACGTTTCCAGCCCCTTCCTTCGCTCTCCCTGCCACTCTGAGCAGTCAGTCTGGAGTGCTCATTTGGAGAGGGGTCCCCACAAGGAGCTCCCAGAGTCCCTGAACTGACCCTCCATGAGCCCACTGAGGGAGAGGCCACGGGGACGCCTTGAGAGCAGACCCTGATGCTGGAGGCCCTTTCCGGGCTGGCATTCACAGCATTCGCATATACTTAGTGTCACACAGGGCATGTGGGGACACACAGAAGAGCCCATCCTGGGCCACCAGCTGCTGGCAGGCTGGGATCCATGGGAACTGGGGGTATGGGGAGGGCCTCTGTGCAGCTGGATGAGTCAGGGGGCTTGGTGAGGATTCACTCGGGTAGAGGAAGTGGAAAGGCTACTCATGCAAAGAGGGGAGACGGGAGGAATGAAGGTAAGAGTGGCCTGGAGGTCAGAGCGGGATAGCAAGGAGGCAGACTGACCATCCCAGCAGTGCCAGAGCTCAGACACAGGCTCAGTGCTGTCTGGGGGTAGAAAGTGCGTTGAGTTTCTGAGACGCATAAAGACTGACGCGTTTACAGATGAGAGAGGTGTTCGTTCCCAGCATCCAGCATGATGCCTGGCAGGGAGAAGGTGCTCAATAAATAATTACTTGCCGAATAATGAGTGCCTGCCTCCATCCCGATCCACGCCCTGGGCATAGCCTGTCTTCCTCCCTCTGCCCAACGGAGCACAGAGGCAGTGCGCTCAGGACACATTCCAAACCCAACTTGTTATTCCTGATATTTTCCTCTCCTCATCGGAATCCTCCTCATTGGAAACCAAAGGGTCGGGCTCATTCCCGGCCTTGAAATCACTTGCTTCCCCAGCCGGGCAAAGAACATGCAGAGGGGCCTATGGGAGGGGGCCCTTGGAAAGCCTGGGGCCAGGCTGTTCCCGTCACTTTGGTGCTGGCTGCCAGTCTGTATCAGACTGTTCATCCCAGAGGCAGAGGCATTTGACAAAGCCAGACCCAGAGACGGCAAGCCATCTTCTCATAGTCACCTAGCAAGTTAGCGGCAGAAGGAAGACCAGAGCCAGGGCCAGGGCTGTCCCCACTGCCCTGTGTGGCCCCTCCCAGGCCTCCTGGAACTGCTGTGGGGCTTCCACACACCAGTCACTTGGGCAGCACACTTACCCACCTGGCATTTGCCTCCCCAGGGGCTCACGAGCTGGAGCAGATGCAGCTCATACTGGACACCATCCCTGTGATCCGGGAGGAGGACAAGGACGAGCTGCTCAAGGTGATGCCTTCCTTCGTCAACAGCACCTGGGAGGTGAAGAGGCCCCTGCGCAAGCTGCTCCCTGAAGTGAACAGTGAAGGTACCTGCGCCCACAGCCAGGCCCGCGTCTGCAGGCTGCACTCTGCGTCCCCTTGGGGGTGGGGCCAGGTAGCGTCCTTCCAGAAGGACCAAGCATAGTCCTTAGCATAGAAGTGAGGCCCCCTGGCAGCCAACATTTGCCAGGGCTACTTCCAGATGATGAGCCCCTGGAATGTGGCCAGCAGGCAACCTCAAGGCAGTCATTAGGGGTCCTCCATATTCCACCCCTGATTTGCCTCCTTCTCTTTCTTGTCTTTCTCACTTGCTTCCTTCTTCTCCTCCTTCACCCCCTTTACTTTTTCCTCCTTGGAAGGCATGGTGTGGTGCAGAGAACATGGGCTTTATCAGCTTGAGAGCCAAAGCCAGGCGCAATTCCTAGTTCTACCAATGAGTGCCTAGCCGTTTGGCTAATGCCGGCGGTCTTAATCCAGCATCTAGAAGGTTTCAGGAATCTGGAGAAGTGCTGTGTGTAATTAAATAAGAGTCCAGAGACGAAACATAATTTTGAAAGGCATTTGGGGGCCAGAGAAGCTTGGCTAAAGAAACCAAGTTCTTCCTTCGTCTTAGGACCCCTTGCTATTTATTAACACAAATTGTCCTAAGGCAAGGTAGATATACACTTCAAAGGCCAGGGTTTAGTCTACAGAGTCCACTGTCAGATTGGTGAAACTGCCTATGGCTGTTCAGGTGTTTGGCCAGTAGGAGGCAATAACATGTAGATTGAGATGCCCTTAGCTGTCTAGCAGTAAGGTTTGGGGAAATGCCTTTAGCCATTCCCAACAGGCAATAACATATGTGACTAGGCCCTTATTGAGTCCCCAAGTTCCATCAACCTTTTGATGAAACTCTTGCAATTATGACATGCTGGAATTGGCTTCTAGCATTTGGCGTTGGATAAGTTTCTTAACTTCTCTGTATCTCAGATTCTTTGACTATAAAATGGGTATAATAATAATATCACATACGGTCGTTATGACGGATAAGTAAATAGGGTCTGTAAGGCCCGGGCATAGGAGGGTTGCTCTGTCATCTTAGATGTTACATTATCACTGGGCCTCATACCTGCCAGAGGCTTCCTTAGGAAGCTTCTACAGCCGATTGTGAGAGAGACCAAAATTCTTCAGACTCAATTAAGATTTAATTCTTACTTAAGAAAAAAGAAATTAAGTTTATTTCTCACCCTGGCCAGTGGTGCTAAGTGGTCAGAGCATCCATCCATGGATTGAAGGGTCATGGGATTGATTCCCAGCCAATGGCAGGTACCTGGGTTGCAGGTTCATCTCTCAGCCCCCATCAGGGCATGTGCATGAGGCAACCAATCAATGTGTCTCTCTCAAGTTGATGTTTCTCACTCTCTCTCTCTTCCACTCTCTCTCTAAAAAATCAATAGAAAAAATATCCACGGGTGAGGAGTAACACAAAAAAAGTTTATTTGTCTCTTATATAATAATCCAAAACCAGGCAATCCAAGGCCAACATGGTGGACCTGCTCTACAGCTGTCCAGGGGCCCAAGGTCCTTCTGTCTTGTTCTGCAGAGACTTTTGCAGGAGGTTTTCATGGGCCAGGCCTGGAAATGGGGTACACACATCACTTCGACCCCCATTCCACGGCCTCCATCACAGCCTCATCTAACCACGGGGACAACTGGGAGACGGGCCAGTGTGAGGCAGGTGGAGAGGGGCTTACACGGGGCATGACTGCCACCTTGAAGCGTGAGAGGGGCAGGTGTGGGGAAGAGAGAACAGCTGAGGTGGGGGAACCACAGAGGGCGGAGCTAGGCTCAGGGGTGGAGGGTAAAGGGACAGATGTAGGTTGGACAGAGAAAGGGTTTTTTAATGTTAGGGCTTCCCAGGAGTGTCTGGGCACCTGTTAGAGGACATGGAGAGGAAAGAGGAGACGCTTACTAGTCAGTGGAGTGGCCTTCAGGTAGGCACTGTCCGACTTCAGGGTTCGCTGGGTCTTTCTTAGTAATGACGACAATGGTGATGATGCCTTAAAGCTTTAACTCTCCATTTCCATGTCAAAAGGTCCAGTGTCATAGGGTGGGGCTGAGGGAGGGTCAGAGGCCCAAAGAGGGGAAGGCTTGCCCAGCCTGGAGCCCAGTGGCAGTGCCCGACCCTTCCCAGTCCTGGGCACCTGGAAGGCTGATCCCCTTTCAGGTCTGCAGCCCTGGCCCAGAAGCAGCCCCTGGGCCCCAGAGCATTTGGGGGTAACCAGAGTGGCTGCTGCTTCACTGGTCTGTGTCTAAGGTTACAGAGCAGCACTGAGCTCCCCTGGGAGGCCAGTGACCCTCCATTTCCTGAATCATTGATGAATCTCCCTGCAAGGAGCTCCAGGGCTGTGGGAGGGGCAGGATAGCGGTGCGGCTGAGGCCCCAAGGGAGCCCCTCCAAGGGGACAGCGGCTTGGGCCTTGAGCTCAGCTGCCTCCTCCCTCTGCACCTGGGCTGTCCCATCATTAGCCAGGTCAGGATTCCAGCAGGGCCTCCAGCCCAGAGAAGTAATGCCGCCGCCCCCCCCCCCCCCCCCCCCCCCTTACCCAGATAATGCAGCACCGAGCTCATGGGGCAATGGGGACCCCTACCTACTTAGGAAACAGCGTCAGTGCCTGTGCCCTGAGCCGATGTCCAGCAGTGCGCACCCAGAACGCCCTGAGACCCTAACATACTGTCATGCCGGTTGGCAAATGACTACTGACTGCTCAAGGCTTCCGCGTGACCCTCCCCATCCCAGGTTCCAGATGCCAGGACCTCCCCTTGGTCCAGCCTCTAAAGGGTTTCTGCCTGGCACGGCGGGGTCTTCAGCCTGGTGGTGAAATATCCTGGTGTTCACAGCCCTCCCCCATCCGACCACACCTTCCTCGCTGTCCCTCCCTCTCCCATCCCTCTTACACAGAGCCAGCTTCTCACCCTCGCCTCGTCAGCCCCACATTCATTTTCTCCCCCATCTTTGAGTTTCAATTCAATTCCACAGACATGGACCGAGTGCCTCCTCACAGCCCTTCTGGAGCAGAGTCCAGGCAATCCTCATGATTCACGGGTTCCGTCCATATTTGTCAATGTGCCTGCCCGCTGATATTTATTTTCAATCCCCCAAATCAATTCCCATCGCGCTTCCACTGCTATTCGCTGACACGTGCACAGCAGAACAGCCAAAAACCCGAGTGGCCTCACGTGCACGTGCCCAGCGGAGGTCCACGGAGGCCACGCCTGGGTCTGGTGCAGCCCTCACTCTACAAACAGGCATCCTTTCTGGGGTCTATGCCATGCCACCTGTGTGCATGTTAGTACTTCTAAAAATACATGTATATTTTTATTGATTTCAGAGTGGACGATCCAGCCTACCTTTATTTGTTAGACCTCCCTGGGCAACATCTGGTGGGAGGCGCTCTGGACGTCAACTAGCAGCTCTGGCCTGTCAGGCCCTGTCCCACCTGCCTCACCTCCGTGACCTTCCTCTCAGGGGCTCCCCAGCCACCCCAGCAGCACTCAACCCAACACGGGGAGCAGGTGTAGAGATACCCCAGCGCCCCTAAGTGAAGCCCCTTGCAGGCCCCACGCTGTCTCCTAGGGGACCCCAGTGGACATGAGCCCCAGGTGCCCACAGGAGAACCTGCTCATAGATACATCCTCTACTGCAGTGGTTCTCAACCTGTGGGTCGCAACCTCTTTGGGGGTCAAACGACCCTTTCACAGGGGTCACCTAAGACCATCGGAAAACACATATATAATTACATTACAATTCATAACAGTAGCAAAATTACAGTTATGAAGTAGCCACGAAAATAATTTTATGGTTGGGGGTCACCACAACATGAGGAACTGTATTAAAGGGTCGCGGCATTAGGAAGGTTGAGAACCACTGCTCTACTGGCTTCTTCCCCCCGCCCCTCCCAGTGCACTTTGGGGATCACCGTCAGGTCACGACTTACACCTCAATCCTTGTCTCTGGAGAACCCAGCCTAAGGCAGAGTTCTAGCCCTGGACCTCCTGTCACCAGCCATGACCTTGAGCATGTCCCTTTCCCCCTCGGGGCCTCTCTTACTTAGATTTGTGAGTCAAAAAGCAGCATCAGCCCCGAATTTATCGCTGGATTGTGGTGAGGATCATGAGAAAGAAAATGACTAAACACCTTTTTACAAACGGAAAAGTACACAGGATCGTCGCCACGCTGAGGGGCCTCCTTCTCAGGGTGGCAGCGGCAACCAATGACCTTCCTGTCCGGCTCTGCTCCACAGCCATCGACTTTCTGGAGAAGATCCTGACCTTTAACCCCATGGATCGCCTCACAGCCGAGATGGGGCTGCAGCACCCCTACATGAGCCCGTACTCATGCCCCGAGGACGAGCCCACCTCCCAGCACCCCTTCCGCATTGAGGATGAGATTGACGACATCCTGCTGATGGCCGCCAGCCAGAGCCAGCTCTCCACCTGGGACAGGTGTGGTTCCAGACGTGTCCAGCCCTGGAGTCCAGAGCCCACCTTCCAGTCCTCCCATTGCTATTTGCCTCCGATTCTGTGTGACCTTTCCCTCTGTCTCCCACGCTGTATAGCCCTGGGGCGCCTTCCCCAACTTACCTGCTGGCCTTTCCCTCTCCCATCCCCTGGCGCTCAGTATAGGAGCAGCCTGTCTTACCTGTGGGCCAGGGCCCTTCCTTTGGCACCACCAGCATTCTCCTCCCCCCCCCCCATGTACCAGGCTCAATGCAGTGTTCCGCTAGCATTGAATGAGGGCCCCTGCAGGAGCTGCCTTCTGGCAGCCTGGGAATTTGCCCTGGAAAAGCAAACTGCAGCCACGCAAGGCCAGAGAACAGTGTGGAATTTACCGCCACACAGCACGTCCCTGTGTTCACCTCCTTTGCACCTCTGCAGAGTGCCATGAGGCGGGCACCGTTATTGGCATTGCCCGTTGGCACGTGAGGAAGCTACAGCGCAGAGAGGGTAGAGATGGGCATCATGTCACACAGCTGGTATTTGGCCCACCTGGGGTTCTCCCCAATCTGCATCCCTGTCAGACACTGCTAAGCATCACAGGACTCTCTCCTGCTAAACTGGGCTGGGGATCTGAGTCCTTCTCAGCAGTGTGCCCTGGCGTCACTACCAACGAATCAGAGTTGGATGGAAGTTCCTTTTTAAGGAAGATGCTTTTTAAAACAAGTACTCTAAGCAATCTCCATGTTGGTAAGGCATCTAGTGACCTCCTAGGTCCCTTCCTGGTCTGGTGGTCTTAGATCGCCGTCAGCATTCCTAGGAGCGACAGCGGATGGCTGCTCAATCTAGTAACAAAGTCGAGGGCTTGGCAGCGAGGACTCCGAGGGCCCCAGTGGGAGCCCCGCTGTGGTGGGGGTGTGACAGCAGCTACATAAGTGACCGAGGAGCGATTCCTCCCTTTCAGTCATGTGACAGTGGATGGGTTTCAGATGAGGCAGGCAGCAAGGGAAGGCCATGCCCCATCGCTAGTTTGGACAGGTTATTGGGTTGTCCACGTGGATGGTTGGTATCAAGCGTTGCCAGCAAGTGGAGATTAAGGCAGACTCTCCTCTGCTGCCCCCCTGTGCGTGGCTTGCCCTTGACTGTGGTCCCTGCAGCCCCTCCCCACCTCAACCTCACCCCCCC